AATGCAAAGATGGTAAATATTAAAAGCTGATTTCTACACCGATGTACCAGCCATTTAAGCCGATGGCAGACAAGAAAATCTCTAGCTGAGTCATACAATATTTAAAGAGGCTGAGGGGAGGGAAAGAAAAGATAAATTGTAACGCGAACGGGTACATTTTACTGTTAAATATTTTGTATGGCAAAAAATGTCTTTTGGTAACTATAAATTCGGTTCAAACAAAACTACACGAGAGAGTGAGTTAGAAAAAAGAGAGGTAAAGAGAGAGAGAGAAAAACAGAGATGGGGAGAAACAGATACCGAGAAACCGAGAAAGTGAGACCGAGAAACATGTACACCATTATCTAAACCAGTAAAACATTATCTAAACATCACAACTATCTAAACAATGACATGTACACAGTTATTTAAACATGTACACCATTATCTAAACATCACAACTATCTAAACAATGACATGTACACAGTTATTTAAACATGTACACCTTTATCTAAACATCACAACTATCTAAACAATGACATGTACACTGTTATTTAAACATGTACACCATTATCTAAACATGTACACCATTATCTAAGCATGTACACCATTATGTAAACATGTACACCATTATCTAAACATGTACACCATTATCGTAGCATGTACACCATTATCTAAACATGTACACCATTATCGTAGCATGTACACCATTATCTAAACATATACACCATTATCTAAACATATACGTCATTATAAAAAAGTGTACACCATTATCCAGCACATACGACCATTAAATATAATATCCCCCCCCCCCCCTGTATAAGGCAAGATTTTGATAAACGATAACCTCTAGCTGCTCCAATTTGTTGTCATCTACGTCCATTTTTTTTTTGTTTTAACTGACACCTTGTGAGAAATGGCGCTTTTAATATGGAATAAACGACATTGTTCTTTTTTTTTATTTCAGGTGGTAGAGATCAATATGACCCTAGATTTTTTTTCTGGTGTACTGTTGTTAGATTTAAATTTAGCTCGGCGCCTAAGGGTAGGTTACGTCGTGTTGGTAGCTTGAAATAACCTCACGAGATGTGTAGGTGTGTGAGTCGGGGGGGGGGGGGGGGGGTGGCGAATTTTTTTTCTGGATTAGAAACGACAGACTTACAATTTAGATGCGGAGTGAGTTAAATCTAGCCCACGATGGTGAGTTAAATCTGCTCCGTGATGCAAAATTACGCTTGTATAAAGACATGATGTGCACAGTAACACATGATGGTAGGTAATGATGTGCACAGTAACACATGATGGTAGGTAATGATGTGCACAAAAACACATACATCAATACACAAAATGACATATAACGGCACACAATACTAGCGTATTAACACCCATTATGGCATATATCACTTTCTTGAAACCAGATTATACTCACTCCATTTTTTTTTGGTGTTTTTTTTTTCGAGATTCATAAGTCCACCAAGGCATCAAGGCAAAACATTTTGAGGCCATAGCTCTTACTATTATTACACATCAATTTTAATTCACCAATACCCTAATATAGACATGTTAAGAAAAATACAATTTTAAAGCTTCCTTGTAAAGATTTTTAAAAAGTAGAGTTAGAAAAGTCTCGTTTTAGGTAAGCTATTTGTAAAAAAAAAAAAATAACACTCTTTTTTCTTAACATAACATCTGACGAACTTAAAGAAAATAATGACAAAAATAATAATCATAACGAGTCATACAAACTTTGTAATTAGTCCAACCCAATCAAGTTTTAACCAAACATGCTACCTCGATATACGGGGACAAAAAGCCTTGTTTAATTGTTCCCTGAGAGTGCACGTGACTTCCATCCCCCCCCCCCCTCCCCCAGAAGTCCCGAGACTGACCTGATATTGATACGGGCGTGATTTGATCAAATATCGACCCGTGTCTTCACGTGCTGGTTTCACCTCACAGATCGATACGGCGGCTTGAAAAGTTAAATCAGTCAATGTTTACAAGGTCAAGGTTGGGTTTGGTAAATATTGACCGAGGAAGGTGAAGTAATTGTTGACTGTGGCCCGGTCAAACAAAGGCAATTTTTAAACAAAGTCTAGTCGAGTCTACGGGATCAAATTAAACCTTGAAAAACTGAAAAGTGTCCATTGTTTTTTGTTTTCAATGGAAGAACTTCTGGAAACCTAAACAGAGAAAACAGGGATACGAATATTCAGGCGATTATCGAAAAGTACATCGAGTTTACGCTAATTAAGATCTATGTCTAGCGTTTGTGTTAGCAAATAGCGTAGTTATAGAGAGCCAGATAAAAATGTTCAGATACAGTCCACAGTCACTAGAGAGCCAGATAAACATGTTCAGATACAGTCCACAGTCACAAGAGAGCCAGATAAAAATGTTCAGATACAGTCCACAGTCACAAGAGAGCCAGATAAAAATGTTCAGATACAGTCCACAGTCACAAGAGAGCCAGATAAAAATGTTCAGATACAGTCCACAGTCACAAGAGAGCCAGATAAAAATGTTCAGATACAGTCCACAGTCACAAGAGAGCCAGATAAAAATGTTCAGATACAGTCCACAGTCACAAGAGAGCCAGATAAAAATGTTCAGATACAGTCCACAGTCACAAGAGAGCCAGATAAAAATGTTCAGATACAGTCCACAGTCACAAGAGAGCCAGATAAAAATGTTCAGATACAGTCCACAGTCACAAGAGAGCCAGATAAAAATGTTCAGATACAGTCCACAGTCACAAGAGAGCCAGATAAACATGTTCAGATACACTCCACAGTCACAAGAGAGCCAGATAAAAATGTTCAGATACAGTCCACAGTCACAAGAGAGCCAGATAAAAATGTTCAGATACAGTCCACAGTCACAAGAGAGCCAGATAAAAATGTTCAGATACAGTCCACAGTCACAAGAGAGCCAGATAAACATGTTCAGATACACTCCACAGTCACAAGAGAGCCAGATAAAAATGTTCAGATACAGTCCACAGTCACAAGAGAGCCAGATAAAAATGTTCAGATACAGTCCACAGTTACAAGAGAGCCAGATAAAAATGTTCAGATACAGTCCACAGTCACAAGAGAGCCAGATAAAAATGTTCAGATACAGTCCACAGTCACAAGAGAGCCAGATAAAAATGTTCAGATACAGTCCACAGTCACAAGAGAGCCAGATAAACATGTTCAGATACAGTCCACAGTCACAAGAGAGCCAGATAAAAATGTTCAGATACAGTCCACAGTCACAAGAGAGCCAGATAAAAATGTTCAGATACAGTCCACAGTTACAAGAGAGCCAGATAAAAATGTTCAGATGCAGTCCACAGTCACAAGAGAGCCAGATAAACATGTTCAGATACAGTCCACAGTCACAAGAGTCAGATAAAAATGTTCAGATACAGTCCAGTCACAAGAGAGCCAGATAAAAATGTTCAGATACAGTCCACAGTCACAAGAGAGCCAGATAAAAATGTTCAGATACAGTCCACAGTTACAAGAGCCAGATAAAAATGTTCAGATACAGTCCACAGTCACAAGAGAGTCAGATAAAATGTTCAGATACAGTCCACAGTCACAAGAGAGCCAGATAAAATGTTCAGATACAGTCCACAGTCACAAGTCACCTACAAAAATGTACTTTTAACCTTACCAACTGGACAACACTAGCCAAATTGAAACATTTTTTCCTATACTTGAATGTGGTAAAATCAATATACCACAATGTGTATTACTAGTAACTGCTTGATTGGCTTATTCTTCGTTCTTAATTGTAATATTAAAGCGTTTCCCCCAACACAATTAAGCGTTGCGTGTCTACAAATTATGCGCCATACGACCTCTTGACTCGGACTTTTCTAACTAGACTTGTTGCCATAGCTTTAAGACAATCTGCAAGGCGGCAGCTGTTTGATTTTGGAGTTGTCTCTCCTAGATGGGTTACACTCCCTAATGTTTAAGTTGATTTTACCCAATCCATACAAAAAAAAAGCGTACAAAATATTGTAGCACTTTATTCACGTTTACCTAAAGCGGCTAACACATATCCAATGTCCTCCTCTCAATCTAAAAAATATCCCCACCCCTAACAATCCCTCCCACTACATATATAACAACATTCAACCTTGGAATAAATATATCAACAACACAGGACAGACCACAACACACTCGCTACCCCAGGGGTCGAAACTATTTCTATCTTTGATGCTAAACGTGAGAAGTATTATTCAGAGACCAAGTTTAACTTTCTTAAACTTCAACATACGGTAAAACCTCTAAAATTATTTTTTTCAGACACCAACATATGTCTTATACTCATTAAATAAATTTCTTAGAGAGGAACGTATGGCATAACCTATCTAGTTAACTTTCTTAGATAACAGCAAATGGCATAAACTCATTAATTTTCTTTTTTTAGACAGCTAAATATTGCACGAACTCATTAATTAACTTAATCAGACACCAACACATGGCAAAACTAATTAACATAAACAAATAGAATACAAGTTGAAACGTAATGTAACATTTATTTGATCAACATCTGTTAGTCAACTCATCATCTGGTTACAACTAATACATTTCAAATTATATTTTACACTTAAAAATAACGCTATTATTTTTTTTTTCATTTGCTTTTCATTTGATTTCTTCTTATTTAAGCTAATTAATTTTACTTTTAAAATTTTCATTTAGATAAATCATTAAATCATGTTTTGTTTGCATGGCCAATGTGATAATATGTCACACGTATCTACGCAATGTAAACAACAGTTCCAGTGTTTATTGTTTACTACATTTTCTTGTGATTTAAATAAACGATTTTAAGGTACAAAATCTGTAACATATTGTAACAATTTACACGTTAATCTAACAATACAATTTGTCCCCTAATATTCGCCTGAAACAAAATTCTAAGTCTCACATCTCAAGGGTGACTCGGATATTCCATACTGTTCTAGTCCGGGTACTTACAGGTTAGGGAGACTTGTTAAAAACAAACTAGGTACTCACGTTTTAATCTGGGTTCCTAAAGGTCCATGACGTCACAGGGAGGGTGGATAAGCTGGCAGCCTGGCCTAGAAGTTGCTGTTTGACCCGAGGGTCTGGGGAGATCAGGACACAACAGGCCCGTGGTCTGGGGTGGTAGGGGGAGGCGAGTCGACGCTTGCTGCTCACGAGGTTGTCTTCCCCTGCCGCAGTGTGAGCATGCGCGGCTCGCGCGTGAGATGATCGAGTTTGTAGCACGTGACCGCCGTGAGGGAATAGGGCAGGTTGGCAGAGGTTGGCTCAGGTTGGCAAAGGTTGGTTAGTTTAAGGCAGGTTGGCAAAGGTTGGCTCAGGTTGGCAAAGGTTGGTTAGTTTAAGGCAGGTTGACAGAGGTTGGCTCAGGTTGACAAAGGTTGGTATAGGTTGGTTTAGTGTAAGGTAGGTTGGCTCAGTTTGGTATAGGTTGGTTTAGTGTAAGGCAGGTTGGCTCAGGTTGGCATAGTTAGGGTAGGTTGGCAGAGGTTGGCCCAGGTTGGTTTAGTGTAAGGCAGGTTGGCATACGTTGCCTCACTTTGGTGTAATATACGATAGGCTGAGTGAAATTGTGAATTAAGCGTAGGTGAGTATCGGTAGTTTGTGACTGAACGTTGCAATTTTGGGTAGGTTTTGGGTAGGTTTTGGGTAGGTTTTGGGTAGGTTTTGGGTAGGTTTTGGGTAGGTTTTGTTTGGGTAGGTTTTGTTTGGGTAGGTTTTGAGTAGGTTTTGGGTAGGTTTTGGGTAGGTTTTGGGTAGGTTTTGGGTAGGTTTTGGGTAGGTTTTGGGTAGGTTTTAGATGGATACGACTCTGTCTCGGAAAATGAGGGGATAATGGATTCAGAGACTTATTCAGGAATCGAACCTGATATCCGAACATTTGGGTTAGCAGTAGTGCGCTCTATTGTCCGACCAGGCCGTCCCATCTAAGATTTGTTTAGGTTGTAAAATGTAATAGGTTGCCGTATGTTGGAGTATGATCTTAAAAGTTGTGAAAAGTTCAATCCCTGTATGATAGTTTGGTGCATGAACTGATAGCTTTGCGTCGTATGGAATAAGTTTTGAGTTAGGATTTTAAAATGCCTGGCATATACATTTATCCTGCTAGTTTTAAGTTAGGATTTTAGAATGCCTGGCATATACATTTATCCTGCTAGTTTTTAGTTAGGATTTTAAAATGCCTGGCATATACATTTATCCTGCTAGTTTTTAGTTAGGATTTTAGAATGCCTGGCATATACATTTATCCTGCTAGTTTTTAGTTAGGATTTTAGAATGCCTGGCATATACATTTATCCTGCTAGTTTTTAGTTAGGATTTTAAAATGCCTGGTATATACATTTATCCTGCTAGTTTTTAGTTAGGATTTTAAAATGCCTGGTATATACATTTATCCTGCTAGTTTTAAGTTAGGATTTTAAAATGCCTGGGATATACATTTATCCTGCTAGTTTTTAGTTAGGATTTTAAAATGCCTGGGATATACATTTATCCTGCTAGTTTTAAGTTAGGATTTTAAAATGCCTGGGATATACATTTATCCTGCTAGTTTTAAGTTAGGATTTTAAAATGCCTGGGATATACATTTATCCTGCTAGTTTTTAGTTAGGATTTTAAAATGCCTGGGATATACATTTATCCTGCTAGTTTTAAGTTAGGATTTTAAAATGCCTGGGATATACATTTATCCTGCTAGTTTTTAGTTAGGATTTTAAAATGCCTGGGATATACATTTATCCTGCTAGTTTTAAGTTAGGATTTTAAAATGCCTGGGATATACATTTATCCTGCTAGTTTTTAGTTAGGATTTTAAAATGCCTGGGATATACATTTATCCTGCTAGTTTTAAGTTAGGATTTTAAAATGCCTGGGATATACATTTATCCTGCTAGTTTTTAGTTTGGAGTTGTACCCCATCGGGTACAGGTAAACGGTTGCATATTACCACGCAGCTAAGGTGTAAACAATTCTATTTAAACAGTAACATTGTATTTCACCTGCTGTCAGTCATCTTCTTCTTCTTCTTCGTTCTTAATTTTTAGTGTTGGGAGGGATCGAGCTTTATCTGCCAGAGGGTTTGAACTCGAGACTTTTTTTTCGAATTTATCAACCATGAACTTTGCCGACTCGACCATGTTTCCATCACAATTAAGGATTGTCATCTAAAATATTGTAACTTTCAGAATTCCTATGTGTAAAAAAAATAAAAACATCAGCCTACAACCATGCGATTCTTATATCTCTTATTTTGTGGCGGTTTTGTAATAGAAAAATAGCTTTGGGCCCTTTGGGAAATATTTTAAAGGGCCAAAATGCACGCGTCTAACATTAGCGTAGGTAGACGAGATGAAATTCGATTCTTTTTAAATAGCAACTCTAATATTTTTTAATATTTAGGATGAGCTATTTGGTTTATCTCAATAGATTATTTTATTAGACTGGTTATGTATTTAACAGCCTCTGGATATTTTTAAATTCTAATTTTTCAATAAATGCATGGTCAACTCATGGCTTGTCTTCAATTGGAAGATTTTATTGCGAGGATTGACGTTTATTTCAATAATTGATGCCAGGCCTTCAGGACAATTGCTTAGACTTTTTTTTAATGTTGGTGTAATAGATGGATGTTTGGTGGAGTTTGTGTGAAGAGAGGACGGATGGACGAAGATTAATCTAAACGGATTTATGATTTAGGTTTGTGATGTTAGTAAATCCAAAGAGTACAGTATGTACACAGATTAATCTAAACGGATTTATAGTTTCGGTTTGTATGTTGATATATCCAAAGAGTACAGTAGTTAGGAAGATTAATCTAAACGGGTTTATGATTTAGTTTAGACTGTGTACTTCAATGTTGATGTGCCTTCGCTGAATTACGTGGGATGGTATTGATAGTCTCATGGAGTATTTAGCATATTTTATTGTCAGCATTTGTAAACACACATTAACATTTGTTGGTCATATTAAATACTTTTATCTTATTGTTAAAACTCACAGAGGTGTAAGAGTCATCTATAAATACGGAATATTTGAAGGCGGGCATTACATGATAGGTAGATAATGAAGAAGAAGATAAAGTAGATGAGTCAGTAGATGCGAGTCGATAAAACAGTCAGGTTGGTGCTAGAAAGAAACACTTGATATCCAACAACCACTGACATGTTTCGTAAACACTTGTAAACACATAACGCAACAGGAAGTGTTGCTATGGTTACCAGCGTGCGCGCCAGCCTCCTCAAAGAACTACCATCGACTGCAGGACGCCAGATAAAATGTTTCACTGCTCGTGTACTCAAGTCCCACGGGACACGCATTGTTTAATCCAACATCAGGAAGGGACATTTGTCCCCGGGGACTCCACCTATCAGCATCAGACGGGAAATTTGTCCCTAATGACTCCCATTGCGAGAAACAAACAACGGACTGGATGAGACGTAGGTTCCCAGTGGAGTTTTGTTGTGGTCTTTTGGTGTAAATCCTTTCTTAATCCCCATTTGGACTTTTCTTAATCCTCATGTGAAGTTTTCTGAATCCATTATTTGGTCTTTCTTAATCCCCCATATATTCCTTCGTTAATCCCCCATTTGGTCCATTTTTAATCCCCCATTGTATCGAGTAACGCCCACTGTACAGTTTAAAATATCAAGCTATGGTTGCAAGTAGAGAAGCATTGTTGTGAAACACAACGCGCTATAATTTTTTTTTAAAGCGGTATCTTGTTTTGGGGGTTCGGCGTGGTCGAGTCGATAAAGCTCATGGTTGCAAAACCGAAAAGTCTCGAGTTCGAACCCCCGGGCAGATGAGGCTCGTTAGCTGGGGACAGCCACTCTTCTAGGAGAGACAACTCCAAAATTAAACAACTGCTGCCTTGTAGTTTGTTCTTGGTTGGACAAAGGCTATGCAAGCAAATCCAAAAAGAAAAGCAGGCTGAAATCGGAGTCAATGGCCTCAATGGCGCATAACCAGTTGACACGTAACGCTTAATTGTGTTGGAGGCGTGGTCGAGTCGGCAAAAAAGCTCATGGTTGATAAATTCGAACAAAGTCTCGAGTTCAAACCCACTGGCAGATAAATCTCGATCCCCTTCAACACTAATAATTAAGAACGAAGAAGAAGAAGAAAAGAAGAAGTTTTGGGCCATTAACTTGCTCCGATTATTTCATTGATAGAAAATCGTTTCAACCATTAAACCACGTCTGTAATTTCGATCTAGATTTTAATTTGATTGTCTCGAACAATTAACTGGGCGAGATTGTGTTACAAAACAAGTTTGTTAATGATCCAAACAATGAACTCAGTCACAACCAAACACCAATGCTATTTTACAGTTCTGCCTTTTTTTACAGCGGTACAAACAAAACACAGACGTGGAAAAAAAAATCAATACCGATAACAAATTTGAGAGTTTATAAATTCCTTCCCTCGACTTTAGTTCTCTCGAGTTTAATCAGCGATCACACGAAAATATTACTTCCCTTTACTCGACTCGGCTTATTCACAGAGATGAATTTTTTTTATCTTGAGTCTCGCCGCCATCTTGAAAAAATTGTTGATTTGATCAGACCGGAAGTAGTCATGACTTATCAACTACGGTGTGTTAGCCAACCACTACATTAGAGTCGGGTCAGACCGAGTGACGTCAGGTTGGACTTATGACGTCCGTCTAGAGATGGAGGCGTGACGTATGAAGTAGCAATACTGTTTCAGACACGGACAGTTTTAATGAGTACTATAGAAATGGGATGCTTCCATTTGATGAACGAGCCCATACGATTTGAGAAGCGAAGATGGATGAATGGAAACTATGGACAGAACAAGTGTGTAGTTAGATGTTTGGCCACCAGAACATTTGACGACGTAAACATTTGGCCACGTGAAACTTTGCCAGCTAACCACTTGGCCACTCTTACAATTAGCCATCTAAACATTTGGCCACCTGAACACTTGGCCACCCTACCACTTGGCCACCCTATAACATGACCAACCTAACACTTGGCCAACCTAACACTTGGCCACCCTACCACTTGGCCACCCTACTTCTTGGCCAGCTAAACACTTGGAGACCTAAAAACTAGTCCACCTCTAACCCCCTCTCCCCTCCCCATTTTCATCAACCTCACCTATCAACCTCA